ACCTCCTCATGCACTTCCGGGAAGAATGGAACCGGAGGCGGCTGCCGACGTCCGGCTTGCGCCCCCCGGAACCAATCATCCAGCCTTGAGCGTTCGGGAGAAGGCGGAGGCCTCCAGTGCAGCCCGACACTCTCGGCGGCCCGGGAAAGCATAGCGGTCAGCTCTGGATCTGACTCGGGCAATGCCACTCTTCCTGACAGAGGTAGCACAGCCGAATCATCATCTCCAGAGCCTAGCTCGCCCTCCGATGCAGCGATCGACATTCTGTCATCCGCCTGTGCTCCGCACAAGATGCTGGACCCCGCCCTGTCCGAGGACCCAGCACACTCGTCCGGAAGCACCAGGTGGTGCGATGTGCTTGAGGAATGAGAGGCCCGCGGAGACGTACTCGACGGGGAAACTCTCACCATGACCCTCAGGTCTCCCTGACCATGAACCGAAGTAGGAGGTATCTAGACCGCAACGTCGCGATGGTCATGTTCCTGCACTGAGAACATGACTCATCCATGAGCGCTGTTTCAGCGTGCTGTAAGCCCAGGCACGAGACACAGCGATCATGACCATCAGATGAAGCCAGGACACGACCACATCCAGAAACGCACGAGTGGAAGACATCTTTAAAAAGACGCCCGTCGCTCGTGGAGCTCTTTTAGACATTTGCTCTTTTAGGAAAAAAGGAAACACTCTTTTAGAGAGAGCGCTGAAGCGCCCAGGGGAGGTCGCGGCGAGACCGCAGAATGGCAGCTGCAGCACGCCGAAGATGAGCAGCACTGAATGGCAACCCCCGCTGACGCGCCGTCACACCAACGCTAGGCTGTTTCTTTGCGGACACTCCTAGTCGTCCTAGTAGAAGGCTCGGCTCCGAAGCGAAAAGCTGATGTGTTTAGGGGTGTTAAATAATAATTTTTTTACATTCTAAAAGCTCTTTATTCCAAAGATACTACAAGCTAGTCAGTGTATTCAGCAGGTGTAATGTATTGTAAGTTGCTTCAACGGTATTGCAAGTATTATATACAACAATAATAAAACAGTGCATTGACACAAAAAAGGAAATTAACTTTTGGTACTTAAGTACTTTTAAAAGCAAGTACTTCTGTACTTTTACTTAAGTAAAAATCTGTCTTCACAACTTTTACTTGTAATGGAGTAATATTTGGCCAGCAGTATCTGTACTTTCACTCAAGTAATGGAGTTGTGTACTTTGTCCGCCTCTGGTCACGACTGACGTAACGTCGAACGTGACTGACTGAAAGGGAACTGTTGGTTACCATTGACTTTTTTTTTTATAGACATAGGTGTTCTTGAAAATATTTCTCTTTTTCTACGACCACAGAAGAAAGAATGTCATGCAGGTTTGGAATGGCACGAGAATGAGTAAATGCTTTTAACTTGAGGGTAATTTTTGAAATTATAAAAATAATTGAAAAAATGCTTTCATGAAAAACAGAACGGAATGTTTTAAAGTGAGTCAAACCAACTAATGCAGAAAATCATCCATTTTTTTAAAGCTTAATTCTTTGCTAATGCTACTGTTGTCAGTGTTATTGCAAAGCTGCTGGTTATGGTTTTCCCGCCAAACATGTCACTTCCTGGAAAATGATTTTGGAAGTGGCTTTTTGTTTAGATAATAGTTTCAAAAGACTAACAGGATAGAATGCGATGTTGAGGACAAATAGGCTATTAGATTACCAATTAAAAAATAAATAAATAAAAGTGTGATTTTCATATTTTATTCGATAAATGGCATACAATTATTTGGAAGAGATTTCCCAGCTAACAAAAAAAGGTCCCCAGGACGTCCTCTAAATGGCCTCTGCGTACGTCCCCCGGACGTGAGCGTGTAGGGTCCCCTTGCCGTCGAGCGGACGTTCGCGAAGACGTCCTCTGGACGTTCAAGGGGACGTTCACAGGACGTGCAGCAGCCATTCGGGACGTTTAGGGGACTTTCGCTTTAAGTCCTCTGAATGTCATTTTGATGGTTGATGGTTATTGTATAAAAAACGGTAGTAGGGATGATCATAATTGTTCTTACTATCAATATTGATATTATAAATGGTGATATAATTACAACAGAACGGGATATGGTTACATAGCTGAGCAAATACTAATAATGATAATGACAGGAGCAGATATTAATGTTTATTATAAATATTATTATTGTTATTATAAAACTGATTTAACAATATAATAGGTTATATTTAATATATTACATGATTATTATAAATACTGGGACACATTAGAATGTTTATGATAATGAGGATTATTATAATATATTACTGTGCTTATTGAGATGGACATATTGTATTTGGTTATTTGTATATAACTATTATAATATCACAAATTATTAGTAACAGACAATGGCAGCAACCATATGGTGTAATATATGGGAATGAATTGGGGGTGGGGGCAAATAAGTTCTACTTTTTCCACTCCCTTTCGAGCAAGTATTATGTGTAAATATGTGTATGGATATGTGTAACATAATTGTATATGTATGGATACATATATATGTGAGATAAACTGTTCTATTTTTCTATGTATGTGTATTGATATATATATATATATATATAATTAATATTCATATATTGCTCGAAATAAATTAAAGGTACTTGCAAGCTGTCTCAAGGCAGAAAGCACGAGAGGGCGGATGTGGACGAGTTAGGTGTTAGAGAATTGACTTCCTCTTAGTATGTTTGAAACTGTCTGAACAGTGAACACACACACACACACACACACACATACACACACACACACACACACAGACGTTGGTACAATATCATACACGCGCGCGCACATAAGTTTTATATAGGCCTACATATAAATGAGAAGAAAGGAGTTTATTTCAGGGAGATTCATTAATCTATTAGTTAACTGTTCTTATAACCCGTATTAAGAGTGTCGCCAGTAAATTCTCACGCTTGCTCAATCCGTTTGCAGCTCATGACTCAAATGAACTCTAAGGAAAATTTAGGACAAGCTGAACACTATAGGCTCATAATTCTCCACCACTCACCTAGATTAAAATGACCCTACATTTAAAAACAAGGCGGGCCTTTATTTGAGCGACTTAATGCTAGCACCATTTCTTTCGAATGAGTTATTTTTGAGTGATTCTTTTGAACCGTTTGCCTTTAAAAACCATAAACGTCGGCATGGGACGAAATCTGTATAATCTTTAAAAATATACGAAAACATTGTGGTAAACAACATCAGAATTGAACTCAATATTTTGGCTGATTCTTGATGATGACTGAACGAGTGAGGTTTTGGAGAGCGAACTGGTTCATTGTAAAGAATCATTCGAACCGATTCGCCAAAGTGAAACTTACCTAGTGCTATAGTGCCTCTGACATGAGTGAGCAGAAAGCTTCAGAGTGAGTGAGTGAGTAGAGGAGATGGGAGGAGCTGACGTCTCCTGAAAACACCTCGAGCACTGTTGCTCGCTCTGAAATGTTACTTACTGTAACACCGACTCAGTGCGCTGGGAAAGTTTACTAACGAGACTGTCACTTTATTTCCGAACATGAGCAGAAGACTCGTTTAGGTTTGTCCTTCGTCACTACCGATATCTTTAACGCCCTGTTTGGGATTTATTTGGAGACGTGAAGCCATTGTCTAGATGGAAGAAGAACAGCCGCTGCTGACTGGCAGCATTAACCAGGGCTCGGGTGATTATGGAGCTCATGATAATGGTCAACTTGATCAACATGAAGAATCACCAGGATCAAGACGACTGTCCTATTCAGCTACAGACGATTCGTACCGTGTGCTCGAGGGTACGTATGTATTCAGTAATCAGTCTGTCCTGAGACAAGTGTCCTGACTTACTTTTCCATAACCTTGTTCTGCTCTCTTGTAGTTTATTCTGTTTCTTTTTCCTCACTTTTATTTAATAAAAGTGTAAAAGGTTATCCTCCATCTTTCTGGTATCATATTCACCTCTACTTGGTTTCAGTCTTTGCTGTCAGACAAACACACCATTGTCTTCTTATTGGCTCTGCAGTTCATCTACTTTAACTTCATAGCCTATGTTGTTACTGCTTTCTTGCATGATGTATCAAATTATAAGTGGAGATAGTTAGACATACCGAAAATGTTAATTTAATACTTGCCAAATAATATGTTTCACAATTTTAGCAGAAATTTGGGGCAACTAAATGCGTTTTGGGTGGATGTGTGAAAATCTTGTCCATACTTGTTATAAAAACACAAAATAGAAAATTCAAACATTATGTCAAGGTAATCTGAATATGAAGCGGACAAGTTTATGTTTTAGTCTGTGATTTTGGCATATTTCGCAATAGGTTTTATTTGGTAACGTTAGCTAAATTAGTTATCATTAACTAACAGTTAGCAGAACTTCTACAGCATTTATTAATCTTAGGTCATTATAATCTCAACATTTATGAAAACATTTTTAAGATCAAAAGATGTATCTGTTAACGACGAACATGAGCATTTACTTTTTTAAATTAGCATCAATTAAGGGTATTAAATGCTGTGACAATATATTGCTGTTAGTATAGTAATATGGTCAAATATATTCATGGTAGTTATTTTATATCTCCAGTACGAAGTCAAAAGAAAGTTTCTGTGGCTCTTTGCTCTTCTACTTAGCATTATCACTCAAGGATGGTTTGGATTTGCTGGCTCATATCCTGTTGAGAAGTTCAGGTTTGGCAGCTCCTGAATATCCTGTGACACTTAAAAATATGCTGCTATTGGAGCCTGAAACATCTGCCTGCACACATAGTTTTACAATCAGAATTATTATTTTTTTTTTCAAATCCGAGTAGAGGTACAGGTCATAGAATGATCCAGTAAGTTTTGCACCAGATTTTGCTCGGCGAGTGGTTAAATTAAGTGCAATATGGCAATGATTTTTGTGGCACAAAAATATATTTCACTATATTTTTGTTTAGATTACAGAGAATGTAATAGTTTAACTTTGTGTAATATTACGGGACCTCCCATGCAAAATCTTTTAGGGACCTTTTTGCAAAATAAAATAAAAACATTTGAAAGTAAAACTCATAAACAAAATTCACAACTAAAAAGTTTTTGTTTATCTTTTTGTTTATTTGTTTTTCATTTGATACAGATGCAGATGCAGACCTCTATATCCAGCAGGCAGTTGTATTTATTGAAGATGCAATTCAGGTAAAAAGATTTTCAAGATTTTTTATTTTTATATTGATTGAATAAATGTCTAATTTCCCTGTTTGTGCTCTTTCCCACAGTATCGATCCATCAATCACAGGGTTGATTCTGGGTCCTTGCAGTTATATAGATGGTATTATTCCAAAATATGTCAGTGGTAAGCAAGCAGAAATTTATGCTTTTTATTTAAGGACTTTTTTTTGTTTTTTTGCCATGTGCCATACAAAAGCCAAACACAGTAACTACGGCATCACTGGAATTGTGAAAAATTGCTTCATAGATTTGTATAAATATTTATAATTGAATTTCAGTTTGTTTGATATCAGTATTTTTTTTTCTAAATCTTAGTATTGTTGATCAAACCCGGCAGTAACAGGACAGATCATAGTTTAAGAGCCTTGATTTCAGTCATTACTCAATTTTGACAAAATGTGTAGGTACTTTGTTTTTCCTTTTTATTGCAGTATACTGTAGTTTCATTGTTTGTTTTTTAACTGGTGAAAACGTCTCAGGTTACTTATGTAACCATGGTTCCCCGAGTAGGGAACGAGACACTGTGTCCTCTAGGTTTCTCATAGCGACCCCTAGAGGACGCAGTTCGAAGTTCCCATGAAAGGGAACGTCTCAGGTTACTTATGTAACCATGGTTCCCCGAGTAGGGAACGAGACACTGTGTCCTCTAGGTTTCTCATAGCGACCCCTAGAGGACGCAGTTCGAAGTTCCCATGAAAGGGAACGTCTCAGGTTACTTATCCTCCGTCCAGGATGGCCTGGCCTGACCACAGATGGCCTGACTGGTACACCTAAAAATTGACTAAATTAACTTTTAGCAGATATATATATATATATATATATATATATATATATATATACACACACACACACATTTTTTTTCTGGAAAAACAAATAAAAATGATTGATGACAAACGAACCAATCAATTCCAATGGTCAACATCAAGTCTCACTCCTATATTTTTGGTCATTCAAGAAGCCTCTTTACTTGGATATATGTCACAGTAAGGAAGAAAAGGTAATTTTCCCTTTAATATTCTAACTCATCCTACCTCATCTTCCTATACCTAGTGGAAATATGTTAACACCGGAAAGAAAGCTAAAATTACAAAGCCATTTCATATAGTTCTTTAAGCTTTATTCACAGAATCTTGTTGTTGGATTGGATCAGACATGTTGTCAGTTACCACAGAAAGGTTAGACTTGTCTCTTAATTTGTAAAATCAAATAAAATTCACATTCTAGAGGGTTTACAAGCAGAAGTATTCCTTGAATTTTTGTTACAGTGCTTGTATAAATTTTTCCTTACAAAAACGTTTGTTTTCGGAGCTGTTAAGTTGTCCATGTCATCCGTGTGTGGTGTGATTACTGTTCTAGGCAGAATAACTGCTACAGTAATTATGCATTACCAGAATAGTTCCTATGGTTGAAATGTAAACAGTATTTACATCATGTCCCTTTCTGGTAGCCTTGCAGGGTTAGAAATTAAAACCCGCCAAATGTGGGTGAAAATCACCCATGCTGGGTATAACACATATCAACACTCTGGTCAATTTGGTGGGATGTGATTTATAAATTTATAATTTTACTTGCCATCATTATCAGAGCCCTTCCCATAAAAGCAGCCTCCAACATTACCAAAACAAAGTGAAAAGAGAGTTGCACATTGGACGAGACAAACATCCTGTCATGACACAGTGAGCCACTCACATAGTTCCCTTTCATGGGAACTTCGAACTGCGTCCTCTAGGGGTCACTATGGGGGACGCCTCATCGTGACCCGTGTCTGAAGTATACATTGAAAAATCACAAACTCGTTGGCCGGCGACAGCCATGACGTCACTACCGGTGCGACTATAGTATAAATAGGCGCCGGGAGCTACACATCATTCTCTTCTTCGTCTTCATTGACTGTTCTGTTTGAAGAGTGCATTTCCAAGGAAAAAGTAAGAGCTATCTCTATTTATTATGGCGAGCACTAGCAGAGCATTTAGAAGGTGTGTGCATCCGTGTCATCGCTATTTGACACCAGATGACACACACAATCTATGTGTTGTTTGTTTGGGCGAAGAGCACGCACGCGATGTCCTCGAGGGGGCAATCTGCGTGCATTGCGAGTTTTTTCCAATGAAAAAGCTCCGTTCTCGTTTGTCTCTCTTTTCAAGTAAAGAGGGGCAGCCATCTGCTTCCCGCGGTTCAGGACCCATCTGCTGCCTGCTGAGGCATGGAGGAGAATGAGCTCATGGGGATCTCAGGTGGACCTGGCCGATGAGTTTAGAGAGGGGCTTTCCTTCTCGCGCTCATCAGCGGGGGGCGAGAGACAGCCACTGGAGGATGATGTTCTCTCTTTAACATCATCTGATCGAGGGGCCAGTGCTCTGCTGGGTCCAGCCCAGGAAGAGCAGGAAATGGATGAAGAGAGCGAAGAAGCTGAGGCTGAGCCTTCTCAATCCTCCTGCCCTGTGTATGATAAGCTCTTTGAGGTTATGGATCGCGCCACGGCAAGGCTTGACTTGCCGTGGAAACGTGCTAATAAACTGGTGGTTGTGTGTATACTTCTGTCCCTTTTTCTAGGGTAGGTCCTCGATGGGCACCCCCGCTGCTGGGTTCAGAAACCGGGTGCTCGACTTGCAGTGTTTATTTTTCACTCGTCGAGATATGTCCAGAAGGTAAGTAAAGCCGGTTTCGGCTTCATACTTCCTGGATCATGCGGCCATAACACAGGCTTCTGCGGGAGCCTTTGTGATTATCAGACCCCCGGTGCGTCACTGCAAAAATTCCTGGACGTCCGGGCTGGGGTTACGCTTTCATGCTACCCTGACTGGTCTACCATATCTGGGTCGCCCTGAGGGGTTTTACCGATCACCAGGATATCCTCTTGAAGCATCACCCCCCTCACCATTGAGGGGTATTGTGAGTATGATGTTTCTTTCGAGCGTTAATCCTCTCTGAGGAGTTGGATTCCTCGCTCCATGGGCTGTCCTCGTGGTAGTATTGAGCAATGCTTCCCTTTTATCAAAGGGTTACCTGGAATGAGCAACGTTATTCCTCTGAATTCGGAGTTCTACTCTCACTTGAGAAGTTGAGTTCTCTGTTTCTCCAGAGCGCCTGGATCCAGCAGCATCAGGTGTATTAGGCCTTTCCTCTGCCTCCCTGATGTGCTGAGTATTTGGCTAGCTTGCAGTATGCTTACCCCTCTGATTTCACAATCATGCTGCAGGTCGAGCCCCCTCTCGTTGAGAGCTGGGTTTGTGCTCCCTCAGCCAAGGTAAACTACTACTAGCGTTCCAGCATTGGAACATGCTGTAGGGCGAGCCCCCTTCTCGACTGAGAATTAGGTGTGTTGCTCCCACAGCTAAGTAAATTATTGCTAGCTGTTCCAGCTTTGGAACATGCTGCAGGTCAAGCCCCCGTCTCGGATTGAGAACTGAGTGTGTTGCTCCCTCAGCTGAATAACTGCTAGCTGTTCCACCATGGGAACATGCTGTAGGTTGAGCTCCCTCTCCATTGAGAGCTGGATGTTGCTCCCTCAGCTACAGATTTACCGCTAGCCACTCCAGCATTATAGCTGTCGATATAGCGTCTGGGGATACGCTATTTTTATCTATGGGCTGCTCTTTCAGGGTGCCACCATAACCCCTAGAATGGTATTCAAGTGTGTGCACGTTATGCTTTGCCCACTTTTCTAAAATCCACATAAGTGGTAAGTGTGCACGTTATGCTTTGCCCACTTTTCTAAAATCCGACGCAAGCTTCAGACGAAGAAGTGAATGATGTGTAGCTCCCGGCGCCTATTTATACTATAGTCGCACCGGTAGTGACATCATGGCTGTCGCCGGCCAACGAGTTGGTGTTTTTTCAATGTATACTTCAGACACGGGTCACGACGAGGCGTCCCCATAGCGACCCCTACTCAGGGAACCATGGTTACATAAGTAACCCGAGACGTTTCCCATTGAATTACATTAACAACAGTTTGGGAGAAATATATGTACATACTGATTTCACCCTTGTCTAGTAGATGTATTGTGCATTTTTCAGTAATAAGTATGTTTTTTTTTGGCTTGAGTAATGTCTTCATAAAGAGAATTATATCAGAGCAAACTGTTTCTTTCCATTAGCCTTTTGTGTGACCAGTTTACTGTCTTACGGAGCACTTTGAGACACAAGGCCACTTTTTCAACCTGCTCTCACTTCCTTGGGGTCCGATAAATGCCAAGACTTTTGTGTGTCATTATATAAACACCAAAGCATGTTTTTTTGCAATGCGCCATAAAGGTTTAATTAAAAAAAAACATTTGTCATCAATATACTGATACAAATTTTACATTCATTAAATCATTTACAGACGCCTTGGGAGTGAAAACAGGTTGGCATTTTTTTATGGAGATCAATGGAAGAAAGGCTTTGATTCTCAGTACGCTGACTTTTGTGAAGAAACATTTGATACATTTTTTAAATGACATCCTGTCCGCTAATCTTCAGTGTGTTTAACATTAAACATTGATTTTGGAGTAAGCTGTATTTGAAAATTAAATGCTGTCACAGAGATTTTGATAATCCAGTTTATGTGCAACATATTTGTTTTGGTTATTAGAAGTTCTAAATGGCCAAAAACTTTATTTGCCTAGTGAGTGAAAAGTTCAATTAAAACCCTGTGTATGTGTGTGTGTGTCATGCAGAAGTTACTGTGTTTACTGACTTTATGTGGTCATGACAAGACACACGTCACATGTATTGTTACAGTTATTTTCTTGACAGCATGACACATATTGTATTGCATTGGTCAGACAACATTCCTGTAATTATATTGACCTATAGCCTTTAGCTGCTTATGTGGTATGTTTCTCTCTATCAATATCAGATTTGTTATTGGATCTGCTTTCCCACACTCTCTTTCTTGAAGGGGTCTGGGGTTCACTATTGCCGTTGTACTGGCCCTAGCCTTCATTGAGACACCCTCCTCTCTGACCTACACCTCGGACATTCGTTTCAAACCCAAGCCCTGGGAGCCACCCTGTGGACTGACGGAGGGGATTGAGGTGGTCTGCCTTTGTATCTTCATCCTAGATTTCACTGTGAAGGTAGGAAACTAAAAATATATTCAGGTTACTGTTGGGATAGCATTCAATGGATAGTTCACCTAAAACTGCTGTCATTATTTGTCATTCAAACCTGTATGACTTTCTTTCTTTTGTGGAATACAATGTCCAAGCTGCTCTTTTCCATTTTTGGTGAACTATCCCTTTAACAGTTAAATTGACCTATCTGACCATTTGTTTTGTAATGTTTAAGTTGCTTAATATTATATTAAGGAACATATTGGATATATTGTTTGTTTTGCAGAGTTATCTGATAGGATGGGAGGAGTTTCGTATGAACAAATGGCTGATTGGGTATATAGTAGTGATTACAGCATCATTTATTGATTGGATGTTGAGTGTTAGCATGGCGTGCAATGAGGTGAGTTCATCAAATCTATTACAGAGCTGCTTATTTAATGTGCCTCCTTACACTATAACATAACTATCACATAACAATATTTACACTATAAAAATGGTGTATAACGTTTTCACTGAGAAATTGCTAGTAAATTTCACAAATAATTACAAAGAAATGGCAAGTGATGCATTAAATTAAACTGAAGATTGAAATAGTATTAAGTTAAATGTGACAATAAAGCATTAATAAACCATTCTTCAATATGACATAAATATACCTCTTTATGTAGTTTTTTAAATTTATATATCGAAAGTCCCCACGTGATCTGCCCAACACTATTGTCAAAATAAAATGTTCTTATAATGCATAAAAATGCAAGTACAATTTTATTATGAATAAACTTTATTAAAGTGCAGTAAAAAAATGGTGTTATTTTTTTCCGTTTAACTACATTTTAAACATGATAAAAAAATATAATATATATATGTCAACCTGTTGTTTTTTTGTTTTTAATCGATACATTGATAATTGATTTCTTTATTTTATTTTTAATGAGCACTTACAGTCCTTCATACACTTAAAGGTATAGTTAACCCATATATGAAAACTCATAATTTACTTGCCCTCATTTGAAGAACAGACCAAAATTTAAGTTGTATTTTAAATATTGGCCTCCGTTGTCACTCGAATCTCATTTGCATAAGCACATCAAATATGACCTGAGGGAGATGAAATGTTCATTTTTGGACAGTCTATTCCTTCATAATCTTAAATAAGTAAATACTGAGCATGTCTCAGTCAGCTGTCAGCTTCAGGTCCATTGATTGTAATGTTGCCCTGTCATTCTGTCCCACAGAATTTAAGAGTCAGGAGACTAATTCGACCATTTTTCCTCTTGCAAAACTCCTCCCTGATGAAGAAAACTCTAAAATGTATCAAAAAGACTCTTCCAGAAATAGCAAGGTAATAACAGAATCTCTGTGAAAAAGTTTGAAACTTTTTGAAAAACAGTTTGCATTTAATTCCTTATTTTCACTTCTCAATGTGTGTGCAGTTCCATTCTAATATTATAATAAAAAAAAAATAGGACAATAAATGTTGACCAGAAGTGTTCTCTCTGTTTTTCTCTCTTTCTGTTTCAGTGTTATCCTGCTTTTGGCATTACACCTCTGCTTATTCACCATGATTGGAATGCTGATCTTTTCCAAATCAGATGTAAGAAGTGATCACATCTCTATCATATCATTTCTATCAATGCTTATATGGGCCCACTTTTTTATTTAAACAAACCCCTATCCCCAGATACTACATTTTGCCACAAAACTCATCCCTAGAATTTGTGCATTGGACATGAATGATACCTCAGTGCAGTTTGCTGTTAATTTTCTAAGCAATTAGACTGAAGATATTCACTGGGCAGACAATAAAATGGTCAAACAACTCCTAAAGACTTGTGTTAAAGGAGGAACCTGAGTCATATCTAGAGACCACAATATAGAGGCATGGGTGTGGGATCTTGTGACATGGGCCAGTTTAGAGGACACATAGCAACCATGCAAATCACCCTAGTAGAACACCGTGCAACCACAGAGTTACATGCTGAATACCTCAGAATACCTCAGCAACCACAGAGCATCCATCCACACCACTCTGGCATGCTGGCAACGATTTTTGCATGGGCAAGCAAAACTTACATTTTCTTTAACTACATTAAAAATATAGTAATCAGGGTTTGTGTGGGTCTTTAAAAGTCTTAATTTGCCACAATGTAAGGCCTTAGAAAGTCTTAAATAAGAGCAGAAAGTCTAAAATTGATAAAGTCATGGCACTAAATGTTACATGCATCGCAAAAGTAAATATCTTCCTCAGTATATTTGTTTTCCAATACAAATATCTAAATATCCTCAAATCAAGATTGAACAATGTAACCAAATTGAGTGAGGTTATGCTTAAAACAAGAACAAATATCAGTGGGGTATGAAAACTTGTTTTCCCTTTGAATTAACTAGATTTTTTTCTGAGCCCTTTGGCAGATCTTGTTCATGTCATTTTGCTCCTCTAGTAAATGTATCTCGACTTAAGAGTCTAGACATTTTACACAAAATTACTTTGGAAGAAAATCACTTTTTTTGAAGTGTGATCAGAAGGTAAAGTAAAAGTTTTTTTTCTCCATATACTAGTGGTTGGAAGGAGAGCTATTCAAGCTATAAGTTTGTGTGTGTGTGTGTGTGTGTGTAAAAAAGTGTTACTAATACAACTCATTGTGTGCTCTCTAGACATTTACATTAAGAGAGCATATTGACTTATTGTCTTCTCTTTAGTTTGTTCCTTAAATCTTCTTTACTTGTTCTTAAAACGGTCTTAAATAGTCTTAAATTTACCATCTTAAAACCTGCAGAAACCCTTAGTAATGTACTAAGGGCCAGATTTACTAAACAAGACAAATTAGTGCGAGAGCGCAGTTCCAAAATATTTCACTAAAGATGGGAGTGGAAAGTTCTGCATGTGATTTACTGACAATGCGTAAATTAAAGAACACAGATGCAACATCTAATTTCTATAATAACCAAAGCAATTTTCCAAGATCAGCACATATTAGTGTAAGGTTGCAAACAAGCAGAGCAAATTAAAAATAACAAAGCTTGGCATGCAATATGTTCTGATAATGCCTTCCTCTGGCATTCCAAATAAATTAAGATGAGTGGAAAAAATTCTTTACTTTCTACCATGTGCTCTGTTTTCTGCGATGCTTCCTCCTGGCAGCAGCAATCTCAGCCATGTCAAGCGCAAAATAGGTTAAAATTTCTACAGTTGACTGAATAGATGTGTTTCCGTAGGACCCTAAGAAGAATGGAGAATGGGAAACCTACTTCAAAAACCTGCCAAAGTCCCTGTCTTCTCTGCTAGTGCTGCTAACAACAGCCAATAACCCTGACGGTACATCTTCATTTGACTGTTAATGTTGTTAAAGTCTCTCATGAGGTGCATATCTCTGAATGACTCAGTAAAGTTTTAAATGGTCAGTGACACAGATGACATTTTGGCACTGTTGTGTCAAATTCTCGGTCATCTCTGGCTCATTGCAGTAGAGGGTATGAGTCATTAGCATTAACCACATGACATGATGTCTTGTGACTTGTCACAACGTTCACAGGTATCTGTATTTGTTTCAAATGTGAAACGTCCTACAATGGCCTACAACGTCTCTTGTAGTCTGTGTTCATTACAACATGTCTTCCTCTCTCAACAGTCATGATTCCAGCATACTCTCTGAACCGTGGCTATTCTATATTTTTTATACTCTTTAGTGTGTTTGGTAAGTTTTAATGGCAGATCAGATCAGACACACACACACACACATATATATGTGTATGTATATACTGTATATGTGTATGTATGTATATATATATATATATATATATGCACGCACACACACATGCATGCATACACTACTGGTCAAAACTTTGGAATAATATACGATTTTGTTAATATTTCAGAAAGAAGTCTCTGAAAACTGAAAACTCAACTTTTCTATTACAGAAATAAATTGCATCAAATTTGCATTAAGTTTTCATGTATTTACATTTTTTACTGTATTTTTTATCAGCTTTGGTGAGCATAAGAGCCTTCTTTTCAAAAACTTTTGACTCGTAGTGTATATTTATACACACTGCAGTTAATATTATTTGCATTCAGAACTTTCAACCTGCATTAAACACTGACATTTTTATTTTTTTCTGTCAGGAACGTATTTGTTAATGAATCTAATGACGGCTATTATTTATAACCAGTTCAGGGGATATTTACTGGTGAGTGAAAGTTACGTGACTTACATTAGACATTGTTTTAGGAATTTGGTGCTTGTTTGCTAAAGGAATAGTTCAGCAAGTCTTAAGTCGCTGGGGTATATTTGTAGCAATAGCCAAAAATAGTCAAAATAGTATGGGTCAAAATTATAGATTTTTCTTTTATGCCAAAAATCATTAGGACATTAAGTAAAGATCATGTTCCATGAAGATATTTTGTAAATTTCCTACTGTAAATATATCAAAACTTAATTTTTGATTAGTAATATGCATTGCTAAGAACTTCATTTGGACAACTTTAAAGGCGATTTTCTCAATATTTAGATTTTTTGCACCCTCAGATTCCAGATTTTCAAATAGTTGTATCTCTGCCAAATATTGTTCTATCATAACAAACCATACATCAATGGAAAGCTTATTTATTCAGCTTTCAGATGTTCAGATGCTCGAAAAATTGACCCTTATGACTGGTTTTGTGGTCCAGCATCACATATGACTGTTTTTTATTTCTCCATGGAGCACAGAATGTCTTTTATATTTTCCAAGCATCTCTTTTCCATACAACAAAACTGACCAGGGGCCATCAAGCTCCAAAAAGAACAAAAAAAAGCACAATTAAGGTTTTCCTGTATGACTACATATGATGCACTGTTTTTCAAGTCTTCTTAAGACATACCATATTTTTTATTGTATGGAAAAGAGTCGCGTTACCATTCTTCAAAAATTCCTCTTGTGTTTTGTGAAGTTATACATGTTTGTGACAAAATAAGGGTCAGTAAATGGTGATTTTAGGTAAACTGTTCCTGTAATTATTGATGTTATCATCTGTGTGTTTAGATGTCGGTTCAGACGTCTATAATCAGGAGGCGTCTGGGTATTCGGGCTGCTTTCGAGGTGCTGTGCTGTCCAGGCCGAGGGCACACTAGCACTCAGTCTGAAGGCCATGTGTAAGATCCAGTCCTCTCCAACATTGTAGTCTTTCTTCCTTATAGCAAGCATTCACTCTAATTCATGTCTCTGATGTGGTGTTTTATGCCTTGTCACATGACTTTTCCTGTTGCTGCTCAGGGAGCGAGTGGCGGTGAACATGTTTCTTCAGGTCATGGATAGAGTCCACGTGAAGTCTTACTGCAGACAGGCTATCATTAAGGTCAATACAGATTGCAGAATAGTTTCTTAAAGTAAAACGTGTGTGTCATGGCTGATTGTTCGACCTGTCATTTGTTTCCTCCAGGCTGCTCAGCAGTTCCCAGACGGTTTCATTAATGGCGAGGCCTTCCAGAGGCTTTTTAATGAGCTGGATAAGGATTTTATGAAAGAGGTTTGACCGTCTACATTTGTGGATCAGTTTACATTACAGTCTGAATTCAGGAAGTCACTCTTTTTGAACAATTTGTAGAAGTCGGATAAAATAGTATTAGAATTATTAGGATATGTTGCATAGCAGGGTTGCGCAAGTTGTGAATTGGTTCTCTTGTATTTTATGAGTTAGAATTTGAATCAGAATGACAGAGAATTAGCTGTATGGCAATTCACAGAAACTCAACACAGTCACAAAATGAGGAACTTAAAGGGTTAGTTCACCCAAAAATGAAAATTCTGTCATTAATTACTCACCCTCATGCTGTTCTAAACCCGTAAGACCTTCGTTCATCTTCGGAACACAATTTAAGATATTTTTGATGAAATCTGAGGGCTCTCTGACCCTCTCATAGACAGCAAGGTAACTATCACCATGCGTGTGGCGGTGCCGGCGCTGACCCAGATCCGGCGTGATGACATGATTAGGCCGGATCTGGGTCAGCACCGCCATACGCTCGCATCATGATACTGTCGTGAATGCACGTCCAATGTGACACAGTAGAGACGAAAATGTGGAATAAAGTCGTTATTTTTTGTTTTCTTTGCGCAAAAAAGTATTCTCGTAGCTTCGTAACTTTACAGTTGAACCACTGATGTCACACAGACTACTTTGTCGATCATCTTGGTACTTTTCTGGACCTTCAACGTGGTAGTTACCTTGCTGTCTATGGGAGGGTCAGAGAGCCCTCAGATTTCATCAAAAATATCTTAAATTGTGTTCCGAAGACGAACGAAGGTCTTAAGGGTTTCGAACAAAACGAGGGTGAGTAATTAATTACATAATTTTTGGGTGAACTAACCCTTTAATTAATCCAATACAACAACAAAACAGGCAAGAATAGATAACGGTTTAAAGTTTTCATCTTGTAAGTTTGCTTCATTTTGTTTAGCTCCTTTTAAATAAATACAATTAATAGAGCATTCTTGAAAATAATGTGTTCTTCAACCATGGTCCAAACAAATGAGTTAAATTATTATAGTAAATAAAATAATGTATAATAATACATAATATGATAAATTAATAAATTATTATTAAATTGATTTATTATTGAATATAATATGTATAATTCAATTAATATAAATTGTGTAGAAAATTCTTTTGTAAACATTGAATATTAATACCATATTATTTTTCAGGAAATGCCCAATGTTTTGTGTTTCATCATGTTAATTGGTGATTCATCTTGAAAATGGAGTGTAATATTAAACTACACTTACAGCAGACTTTCTTTGATTTTCATTTAAATTAGATTTTACTTCCTTAGGTTCAAATTTAAGGAGTTGAACTGGAATTTTAAGTCACTTTCAATTTAATTCTGAATGTATCTTTGGTGTCAACAGATGCATTGACTTTTCTGTTTTTGTCTTTTCCCTGCAGCATCCACCAAAACCAGAGTACAGTTCTCCTGTCCTACAGCTTATCCAGTATATCTACAGTCACTTTTATATTACTGTACTGGGGAACGTTGTTGCTCTGGCTAATGTCATCTGTATCTGTGTAAGAAACCGTATTTCCTTTGACTTGCTTTTATTATCACATACATCACCCTACATGAAGAACATTACATACATTTCCAGAATTCAGTAGATTAAAACAGGGCTTTCCAAATTGGTTGTTCACCACCTAGTGGTTCATGATGGAGCTGCAAGGGGCTCTTGAGATAGAAATGCCAAATTAAATGGAATTGAATTGAAATACATACGTTTTAATATTAAATAATCAAGTGTTACACTTAACTCTTACACAAACAAGTCATTAAATGTAAATGTAAATTTAAACACTGACCACAGATTATACTTTATACAAAACAGTGAAATCCACAAATGTAAAAGTGCTCATACCATAAAAACTTACAATTCATATAATTAAAAATTAGTTTAATAATTGTATTATACATTTTTTTTATATAAAAAAAAATAGAGCATTATTTGAAATCAAATCAGAAAATTATTAGAATAATTTAGTTCACAAAAATAGATCGCAAAGTCTATGTTGAGCGCATGTTTCTAGTTTTATTGCGAAATGGTTCCATCTTGTGGATAGCATATGCAAAAAACAAACCATGTACTGAGTAGTTGTTTCGAATCTTTGAATCTTGAAGTTCATCTTTGATATTTGTTATTGTTTTTCTGCAGACTATCTTGGTTCTGAATTCAGAGAAATCTGCCTCAGAGAAAAATAACTTCTATATGGAGGTGACCGTTTCATGCACTGAAAAAAAACGATGTTGCTGTAATAATATAATTTCATATCAAAATATTAGTGGTTGGTTTGTTTGTAAAACTAAATTGTGTTCAATCCTTTGGATTTTAAAAATGCCCTGGTGTTTTTTCAGCAATAGTTGATATATGTGTTTTCTGAATTTTTAATGGTTCTATAAATATTAATGTAAATATATTTTCTGTCTTTTAGATCCTCAACTGTATTTTCATCCTGTACTATTTAATAGAGATGCTGCTGAAAATAGTGGCTTTTGGTTGGAGAGGTTACCTGTCTTACAGGAATAACATTTTTGATGGATTCCTCACTGTTCTTCTTCTGGTAACATTTCCGATGTCTTTTTTTTTTTTTGTAATTTAATGCTATTTAAAATTATCATAAGGAATTCTGCAGCATACATAGTTGTTTAGGTGGTGAAGGCAATAATTGGAGATACATTGTGTTTTTCTTTTATTCTCAACAGGCAATTCAGATTGCCATATTCATCACGTACAGGATTCCATATGAGGACGTGTGAGTGTACTCAATTTGAAGATCAAATCACCTGATCTCTTCTCCAAATGCTTTAATGTGACGTTTTACTCTTATCTTTACAGGGATCCGGTTCCACAACATGTGATGGCTTTGTGGGAGATGGTGCGACTGGTCAATATGTTGATTGTTTTCCGTTTCCTCAGGATAATTCCAGAAATCAAGGTTGGTGATGGGCTCCTCACATTAATCACCACATTAATCTCCTAAATGCACACTAGGTGCAATGATACTACAGCGGTGCTAAAAATACAGGCACCATTGCGTTTCTTTTTTTTTTTTCAAATAGTTTCTTGCAGGTCACCATTAAAATTGAAAGGTTTGCAGTGCACCAAAATAAAAAAGATTGCAAAATGCAAAATAAACTTTTTAGCCACCAAAAAATATAAATGGCCTGGACAATTTTGGCACCATTTATTTAAAATATGGTCCGATTTTAAATTACTCTCTGATTTAAAATTACTTCTTCCAACTGTTGTTTTCAGCTCTCTTCATGGCATTTAGGGGTATTTTGATCTGGACTCATTGCTTGCCACTTCAGAACAGTGCAGTATTTTAATTCCAACCAATAATTATCCTCCTGGAAGGCCCATGACTTTCAACAGACACACAGCATAATTGGTCAGATAGATAGATAGATAGATAGATAGATAGATAGATAGATAGATTTCCATTCTGAGTTTCTGAGTTTTTTTTCTTCAGGCCTTTGTCTCTCTTACCGGTTTGCTTTTCTTCCAAAAGAAAGCTTTGCTTTTTTGGTGCTAATAACTTGCTGACTGTACGTTATTTCTTACATATGTAAAAACAATTCACTGAAACCAGTATTTTTTCACGTAATTGGCATAATTGGTCATACCGTAAAGAGCACTAATACATGCTTAGTCTTTTTTTTTTGTGTGCACACTTTAGTTGATGGCCGTGGTGGCCAGCACTCTTGTGGACCTGGTGAAAAACTTGCGGGCATTTGCTGGCATTCTATTGGTGAGTGAACAGACTCCGTTTACTAGCAGTTTTATCATTGATAATGAGGTTGGTCTCTCTTCACTTGTACATTTCTCTGATGCAGGTGGTGTACTATGTGTTTGCAGTTCTTGGTACCTGGCTTTTCCAGGGAGCTATAACCCCTCCATCAAACATGAGGTACTGTTCATCAACTGCACATTTAACAGGAAACATAAAAATACAGTAAAAACTATTGTGAGATAATCTTACAATTTAAAAAGAACTGTTTTCTTTTTTAATGTAATGTATTCCTGTGATTCCATTACTCTAGTCTTCAGTGTCACATTATCCTTCAGAAATCAAAGCATTATTATCATATATGCTCAAGAAACATTTCTTATTATTTTCATAGTTTTTAGAGCCTCTTCTCTCTATATATGCTCTCCTTTCAGTCTAATCTCCGACTCCAGCACAGAGAACAAAACGGGGGGTCCCTTCAGCATGGATTGTGGCACTTTTGAACAGCTGGAGTACTGGCCAAACAACTTTGATGATTTTGCTGTAAGTTGCACAGAGGTCTCTGGGAACTTGATTTTTAACAAGTTCCCAGAATGCAATAATAAGCACGTATGAGGAATAAGTAGACAGTGGATTTGACCAAATTTGCTAGGTTTATAGTATTACATTGTGTTTTCAGATTTGTTTTTATTTCAATACTATTTTCACATTTGAAAGTGGCAATTAAAGTTTTATTCCCGACTATATTTTGGTTTTGTTTTTATATATTTTAGGTTTAAGCCAACATAAAATTAAGGAAAACTGTTTTTTTGGTCTCACAAATAAATGTAACTGTATTCTTCCTGTCATATTTTTCCAGTCCTCTCTGGTTCTGCTCTATAACATCATGGTGGTGAATAACTGGCACGTTTTCACGGACGCATACACCAGATACACTACGGAGTAAGTTAGACACCCTACACACACACACACACACACACACACACACACACACACACCCTGTGTCTGTCTTTAACACATTTGCTTTAACTGAATAGAGTTTTGTCAATTTGTACCCATAATTCTTCCATGTCAGGTGGTCCTTGGTGTATTTTGTGGCCTGGTGGTTGACATCTTCAGTCATGTGGGTCAACCTATTTGTGGCACTCATTTTGGAGGTATGTAGATTGTTTGGTGAAAATATTTCAAAACTGACCATATTTACATTATTAATACACATTCCTAGTCTTAATATGAATTACACAGTGCACATTATTCCAAAAGGAAAAAAAATATGTACTCCTTTTTATGACAGAAATATGATTTGAACAAATTATCAATAGCATGATTTTTCCCCCAAACCAGTAAAGCACACACCCTGCCCCACAGCTGATTGTAAAGATTTAATTGGTCACAGTGCTGATTGCCTATACAACACTGAAACCAATACTAACCCCTAACCTTAATTACAGTAGTAGCACATCCTGTTAGTTAGCATTACTGTTTGTCATGATCAGATCATGAACTGAATCAATAAATTCGGACCTTTTCTTGACAGAGCAGTAAATTTGTTTCTAAGCATGCTAGTTAACCCTGTTTTTTTCTTCTTCTCTCCTTTGTTCAGAACTTCACCTATAAGTGGGACCGCAGTAACGCTCTCTCTGTTGAGGATGTGGAGAGAATTGCCTATCAAAGCACTGTGCAGCTTATGTTCAGGTATGAATAAAGCTATTCGAAAAGTTCTTATCAATGATTCTAGAGACCTGGGAGAAAACGAGTCGCACGGTTTTACTGGCCATTAGTTCTAAAAATAGCAAACATTTCCACTTTAAAATGAATCGGTGAGAATCAATAGAATAGGACCAATAGAACTGTTTCAGATTGGATTAAGTATTTTGTGAACACCATCAAGTTGTCAGTCCTGTCAGAATGTCTGTCTGACAGTGGTGATAATTCAAGAGATGGAGCTGAAAATAAATTTTAAATGAAGTGAATTGAATTGAAGTGAATGCTTGTTTTGTCAATACAAATTCACAGTACACATTCTTTTTGAATCTCACAGTGTTGATCTGTATTGAGTTATATGGAAGGAAAAACTATTTTTGTAGACAAAATGGAAGCATGAATGAATGGTAATGGAATGAATACATGTTAAACTAATTATTACAAAACACTTGGTATTTAAGCATTTATTTTTGCAGTCCTATAGCCTGTCAGTGATTTATAGTTTTATTTTGAATGTAATGTGATGTCTTGTATAGTGGTCGACCGATATATCGGCTGATATCTGCCATTTTTCAAATATCGGCATCGGCCGATAAGTTTTTCTGTTTGGCCGATGTGTTCGAGGCGGGACTTTTAATTTGATGGCGCCGAGAACGGCTGCGGCAGCGCCTGAGCACACAGTGCTCACATTCTCCCTCTTGTTCGCTGTTGTCATTCAGATCTGTCTAATACGGATAGAAGTCTATCTAATAATCAGATAGAACTGTTAAACAAAGGAATTAAAATGTATAGAAAAAAGTATTATAACGATTGCTTTAATATTATTAAAGGCAAACATTATAATACTTTCTCGTTTGCCGTCTGCATTCCGCAAATACGCATTTATATAATTTAAACAAATCTTTGAATGACTAATGAGCATTTAATTTCACAAACCTTGCAGACTTAGTCGAATCTAGTTGAGATCTTGTGAAGTGTGCATGTGACCTGCATGATCGCGTGTTCTGTGACGGTCGGTCCTATGGTCCGTGCGAATTGAATACAGTCAGGAGGAGAGTTCAGCTTCACTGGAGACGCGCGATTGACAAACTCGTGACTGATTTCAAATTATGCTGCGCGTTATGCATTTGCCCACCATCATATTCATGTCATTTTCACTGTGTGCTGTATGTAAAATGAGTGTAACCTTGGCTTTATTTGAAAAAATATGATTCCCAATGCACATAAACTTCCCAGAATACTGAGTGCCCTGTGTTTACTTCCTTATTAATTATATTTTTGTTAAATATTTATTTATTTGTGAAAAATACTTTGTCTTCTAGAGTATGTTTATTTTACACGTTTATTTTTTTAATCCATTTTCAAATGATTTCAAATTTCTTAAATATGAATTAAAATTAATAAAATTACATCGGCTTTATATCGGCCATCGGCCACCCTGCTTCCCAAGATATCGGCATCGGTATCGGCTGTCAAAAAACCCATATCAGTCGACCACTAGTCTTGTATGTGATTTTATGGGAACAAGCGAGTATACCTTAGCTCCAATACTTGACAGAATTTGCCTGAGGTTCCTCTGCTCAGTATTTCAGGCTGCGTTCTGCTCTTTCCTCACAGCTTTCCCTCACATTCCTCTCTGATTAAGGAAGGGTAATTATTTAATTTAGTGGAATGTTGTGTGGTTTATCCTGCTGTTTATCACTCCTCACGTTCGACTACAAATCTAAATTTCCTAATATATAGTATTTCTGCAATACATTTATTTATTTCTGTCATTTTGCTGGATCAACATCCTTTTATTGGTCCTGGAACAACATTCCTATCCAACAATCATGTGCCAAACTAGGGGTGGCCGATATGGCAAAAATATAATATCCAGGATATCTGCTGAATTTATCTGCCAGATTTAAGACTTTATAAGAACTGCACATAATAATAATAATAATGTCTATACAGAACAAACCCATATAATCTCAAAATAAATCATAAATCTCAGATTATTTTACCTAATTCAATAGGTTGCAGTACACATGCAATGACTTAGATTTGCAGTTACCCTGTTTTGCTAATATTAAATTGGTTTATGTACCAGTACACAAATACATATTAATTGGAGGTCAATATGGGATTGTACTGATATGATAATAATGTGTTTTTAATAGAGCCAAAAAAAAAAAGATTGTGCTGAAACTATTAAAATGATTTATATTGATAGATTAAAGAATGTTATTAGTCTTTCCTTGCTGTGGCTGGGTGGCCCAGGGGGAACTTTATGCATTACGCAGTACTTTTAATTGTAAACAAGCCCTACATGACTTTTATTTTGAAATGAATACAGTTTACTGAAATGAAATGAAATGAAAATGAAAAATTCTGTCATCATTTACTTGCTGTACTCTCAAGTTGTTCCAAACCTGTACATGTTTCTTCCTGTTTCTTTTCTATTGAACACACACAAAGATATTTTAAAGAATGCTGATAACCAAACAGTTGACGGTATCCACTGACTTTCATAGTATGGAAAAAAATTTAATTAATACTATGGCTACCGTCAACTGATTGATTATCAACATTCTGCAAAATATCAAGAAGAAATGAACCCTTACAGACTTAGAACAAGTGGAAAGTGAGTAAATGATGAGAGAGAAATTATAGTTTGGTTGTTTAAATATCAAATTTTTTTTTTCTGTTCTTTTGCCCATCCTCCATCTTCAGAGAGCACGTCCAAGAGCCGACAGAAGAAGAGTTACTAGCTCAATTACAACAACATCCTCATCTGCACCTCTCCTGGTGACCCTAAACTCATCCCCCCTCACCTCCACCTCACGGGACGTCTTTAATACATAATTACACCAAAACACCCAGAATCCTTCAGGACTCCATCACGTCTGTGTAGGCCTTATGTTTACATATCCATCCATTTTGGAGGGCCTGTTTCCCATTATAGGATCTGTGTTGCTTCAGGTCTGCCTGGGAAAGGATGTATGTGTTTTTAACAGAACGTCACACTGTTTGGAGGAACTTCAATTTATAAAGAGGCTTTAGCTCAAGTCACTCTTGCTGCTGGAGTCAAAAGTTTTTGTTGTATGCTCAAGACAACCTGTACATTTCAGTAGTGTTCATGATGAAGTATCAGTACCAAAGTTTTTGATTTACGCTAATGTCTGGAAGGAATTCATTCTTTGAGTTCGTTTTTTTTTTTTTTTTTTTTTGAGAAACCAAACACATTTTTGTCCTGCGTTTTATGATATCAATATTTGTATTTATTTCTGTAAGCCTGTTACAATATAAAAAAAATGAAACAATCTATAGATTGTTTTAAAAGTAATGGAAACAAAGGGACATAACTCATTGCTGTGTTAAATATTTTTAGCTGTGTTTTATTAATTTGTAGATTCTATATTTTTGACTGCCATTATGTCTGTTCAGTGCTTTTATTCATGTTAGATTGTTACTGTATATTTTACAGAAGTTTTTATGGGTGAATCTCTCAAAAACTGTCAAGAAATGTTCAGATCATATTTCACCCAGAAAATAAACTAGGAAAGGAAATGGATTCCTTTTACTGTAATGTGAAAAATATATATTATTAATATATAATACAGTTTAATTAAATCAGTTATTGCTTCCTGACAGGAGGATTGAGAAGTGTTTTGTATTATAGTCAATAAACAAAGCAAGTAACATTTTGAATTACGTTGTCACAATGTGAAAAAAAATAAATAAATCTTCAAATCTGAGTTTGTACCAAATTTGTATTCAAATCTCAATGGTACAAACTGGGTTTAATTTCCTCTTGATGCAAAAGCATATTTTTACTTTGGATTTTGGGTGTAATTTGACCCAGCCTGTTCGTCAGTAAATTTCAGTGAGCTTATCCAGTGTCATTATTGGGATATCTTTCATGTTTTCAATGTTATCAACAGATGGTGTTTTGTTGTAATCGATACATTTGACTGAATATTGGTATAAATGGTTGAATTAAACCACTATATTGTGTTCTTTCTGGTCTGAGAGCAACTTGTTGATTAAATGTCTTAAATGTCTACAGGCAAATCAGATTTATATCATGATTAGTTTTCTGTAGTATGCTTTACATCAAACCAACTTTAGATGACATTGTGTCAGAAAACATCATGTTTTCATTTTTGTTTTTTAGCTAAAATGTTAGTAATTTTGTTTTTGTCTTTTCAGTTTTTTATTCAATTTTTTAAAACATGTCTTCAGTTTTTATACATTTTTATTTAAGTTTTAATTTGACTTATTATACTACATCAAGTTAAATGAGATGAGAAATGAAAATGAGACACGTTGCATTTATTTTTTTGGTCATTTTAGTTTTATTCATAAAAAAGTGTTATAACATTGAAAAGAGGATCACACAGGCCCATACTGTGCTTAAGGTCTTACATAAGTGTTTTAATTTCCAAAACAGTCTATTTACCAAGACCATTTTCTAGGCCAGTTGGAAACTCCCAGGTGATTATATGGACTTCCTCAGCCAGAAAAGTAGATCAACACACACACTTTGCACTGATTTAGGGGGCTAAACACACAAACACCCTCTTACACAGGGAAACCAGTGTTGTGGACTGCTGGACCTTGTGTTGAACATACATCAGAGTGACCGTGTCCACACACACACACACACACACCTCACTGTCCAAACAAATACACAAGAGTTCCCTTCCACTGTTTGTTTACTTTTCCTCTAGATGTGTTGTAGCTTCAGTGAGGGGTTTAAGTAAGAAATGCACATGTAAATTGTCACAGTATTTTAATTTTCTTTACAAGGCAGGTAAATTTTTTGTCATAGCAAATTTATTCAGGTGTAAAAATACACTACCTGTCAAAAGAGGAATAAATTGTGTATTTTTTTATATTTTCAAAAGTCTCCAATGCTCATAAGGCTGCATTCATTTGAGCAAAAATGATGTAAAAGCAGTAATATTGTGAAATATTGTTACAGGTAAAAAAATTAACGTTTTATATTTAAAAATGTAATTTATTCCAGAATTTTAAGCATAAATCTCTCATGTGACATTACTTTTATTCAGCAAGAACACATTAAAATGGATCAAAAGTGACAGTAAAAACATTTATAGAAATCAAAAGATTTCTATTTCAAATAAATTATGTTCTTATTCAAATAAATGCATTCTTTAATGTCTTGGTGAGCATAAGAGACTTATTTCAAAGACGTAAAAATTTTTTTTATATATATATATATATTCCAAACTTTTCACATAGTGTATGCACTGTATCATACATGTTGGTCATTCAACAACTTAGAAAACCATGTCAATTATAGCATTATTTTTTCAATTATTAGATTAAGCACTTTTATAATGTGTGTGTGCCAGATGCTTCAGGGTAAGCTGTGTCAGTGGCTAAACGGGTAGCATGATTCAAATTCAGGAACTACTGTTACAAAACGTTGAAAACTGCTTTACTGCATTCAAATAGTCTGAATATACAACTTTTATCTTGCAGCTTATGTGAAAACAAATTGAATAATGTGCAGTGAACTGGATTGTGCATTATCCCTTTTTCTCATTTATGTTTATATTTTTAATAAAAAAATAAATATTGTTCACATATTCACCATTTTAACAACATTTTTGACTTGACACAACCTACCCCTATTTGGGGCAAGATGTGTTACTGGATCAGTCATATTTCTAAGGCTCTGCGTTAGGCGCGTCCTTTTAAGAGTCAGTTGTATTTGTTTTCCAAATTCTCTTTGCCTATAGAGGACAACTTGAAAAATGGCACAGCTTACCTCATTCTCCCCTGTATATCATTAAGGTATGTTTGTGCCCTACCTTATTTTACTAGCCATGTGAACAACTATGGTTATACAGTTTGTAAACGATTTAACATGTTTACTCAATATTATTCATTCAACTTCTATTTCAGTTACAATGTCACACTTAAATCAGGACTTGTGTGGTCAGAATTGCTTTGCAGCGCTTTCATAAATGTGACCCTGGACTACAAACCCAGTCTTAAGTCGCTGGGGTATATTTGTTGTAATAGCCAAAAATACAGTGTATGGGTCAAAATTATCGATTTTTCTTTTATGCCAAAAATCATTAGGATATTAAGTAAAGATCATGTTCCATGAAGATATTTTGCAAACTTCCTACTCTAAGTATATCAAAAATTTATTTTTGTTTAGTAATATGCATTGCTAAGGACTTAATTTGGACGACTTTAAAGGCGCTTTTCTCTATATTTAGATTTTTTTGCGACCTCAGATTCCCTGTTTTCAAATAGTTGTATCTCGGCCAAATATTGTCCTATTCTAACAAACCATACATCAATGGAAAGCTTATTTATTCAATGTGTAAAAATCTCAATTTTGAAAAATTGACACTTAAGACTGGTTTTGTGGTCCAGGGTCACAAATAGCTTTAAACATTCAAATCTACATTATTGATCTTTTTAAAGTGTAGTTTACACGGCCTGATTGTGAAGGCTTTAAATAATAAACAAACTGTTCTTCTGAGGAATGCCTTTGTCAGCTGTGAGGAGATCCATATTGCTCTGGAATGTGTGGAGCTGCCAAAGAGATTTTAAACTCAGTTGTCAAATAATTAGTTTTTTTTGCCTAAGTACTAAATTCAGTTTTAAATGAACACCTAAAGTAAGAAAAGTAATTATTACAAGTACAACTACTTTGTAAAGACTTACAAGTGGTCTATAAAAAGCTGTATTTCCATTTAGGTGACAAATATTATGAATTACCCCTTAAAAAAATAACAATACTTGTTCAGGGATATAAACTCACAAGGATTGAAAAAGGTAAGACAATTACATATCCAAGTCAATGCTTCAGTAGGATTTTTTTGTTAAAGATTAAGCTTCAACTCCTAATTTTGGTCAATTTGTAAATGGTTACATGATTAAAAGTTGCACGTAGTAAGTTTTACTGGCTCTTATTTGTTTTTACATCTCACGTACGGCTCAGTTATGTACTATTATCGTACTATTTTGGGAAATTCATGACTTATTGGCAACGTAACTGCAATGTCATGGGCCCGTAATTTCATTCCCATTATTTTACCACCTCACAGCGTCGCCAGCATGGCCTTAAGGTCATAAGATAACCAAGAACGTTCCAGTTACGTACAGTAGCCTACTGTATTCGTAGGCGTGTATCTTAAAGGGTTAGTTCACCCAAAAATGAAAATTAGGCTGTGTTTTACTCACCCCCGAGGCATCCTAGGTGTATATGACTTTTTTCTTTCAGACGAATCCAGTCGGAGTTATATAAAAAATTGTCCTGGCTATTCCAAGCTCTATCATCGCAGTCAACGGATGTTGCGGTGCTTCAGTCCAAAAGAAGTGAAATAAAAAGCGCCCATCCAGGGTGCGAACTACGGGGGAGCTCGGCTCCCCTTAATAAGACATGGGCTCCCCTGAAAACGTGATTTGTGAAATTTTGGGGGGTCTCAAAAATATTGTGTTATTTTGAGTTTTGTGTAATGTGATCATCGTGGATTATTATGTGTAAAATTGCAAAAATATAATTCATTTATGCATGACGTCGATTTAAACCTAATTCACTTCAATAAAGATAACTATACATGCTATTCTTGTCATGAGCATCAAGGAGTGAGGGCGCTGCGGTGCAAATTCCACTCATGTTTAGTACATGTTAACTCAAAGATTCGTAGAAAAAATATAAACGTTGGACTCTGGTCGATTCTGTGTTAAGGTAAGACATGTTATTCGCAATTAAGTGTTGTGGCTGGGTTGTTATAGGTCTGCGTGACTCTCGATGTCTTAGGCCTAATTGAACGGAGGAATTATGGTAATCTTCTGTAGCCTAACGACAAGTAAGTTTAACCGTTGTTCATGTGAACTCAAAGACAGCCTGATGCTTTGTTTATAGACTATTTGTGGGTGGCTGTTTGTTGTTTCACCTATCAATTTGTGTCGATAAAGTATAATAGGGTAAATCCTGTATAGTGATTACGGTTTAAATATGTTTTTTTTACAAGAACGCATTGATTCACTACAGGAGGCCTTTGTTCACCACCCGGAGCCACGTGAGACACTTTTTTTATGGATGGGCGCTTTTATTTCACTTCTTTTGGACTGAAGCACTGCAACACCCGCTGACTGCAATGATAGGGCTTGGAATAGCTAGGACAATTTTTAATATAACTCCAACTGGATTCATCTGAAAGAAGAAAGTAATATACACCTAGGATGCCTCGGAGGGTAAAACACAGCCTAATTTTCATTTTTGGGTGAACTAACACTTTAAGCGAAGCAGCATAGAGAACTGACCCATAAATCTGTACTTGAGAGCGACCACGTATGAGGTGTTTCTAGGAAGTTAGGCTATAGTACATTAAAGAATGATCAGATGACTTTTTACATACACCATGTGACCTGTAAATGCAAAAAAAAAAAATTTTACAATGCAGTTTTGCAAAATATTCCTTTTTCAAATTGCCTGAAAAACCACCTCGTGCGAACCATTTGCCGTATTTTCAATTCGCAATTTCATTTTGCTCAATTTGAAGGGTAATGAAAATGCGCCTATTATGAACGCAAATTAATATATTTATATATTTTTTTTCCTAGGTTTTGTGTTACATCAACTTCACACACACGGGTCAAAAATGACTAATCTATGCAAGCGTGATAATACAAAAGAATAAATAAATTTTGTTAAAATAATTATTTTAGCAGTTATTTAGACCAACACATTTAACACTTGCAATACGTTTATTTGCCACTTTGTCAAACATAACATACACATATCACAGATAACCGATAATACTGAAATTGAACTGTCTGTAGTGCAACTGTAGTGAATTGTAGTGAATGTGACAGAATAAATGAAAATAAAACTGACAAAATAAAATAACGCGGGAACAGCACCATCCCAAACTGCAATCTCAGTGCTTACATGCACAAATGACAACACGTTTGTGCTCCTTTCACACAGGCCTGGTGCACTGGAAACACCAGCTGCTGACTTTTCTGTCTTAGGCAGCAGGGCAGATCCTGCACCTCTTCCTCTTTG